ATGAGGTAGCATGGAGAACTCCTCAGTCATTTCTTGATGTAGTAGCATACTTTTTATACTGGTCATTTTCTAACTTATTCAGATGTTTGTTTACGTCATACTGCATTCATTAAATTTATAACACAGCTTAAACTTCGCACACGACAAAAACAGCAGCTTCATTAAATATACCTTTCATAGTAGAACTTTAGAAATTGCAGGTGTGATGTAATGCACAGATCTGTGAAACTGTGCATTTCCCAGCACAATGAATTGTTGTGTGATCTGTTCTGTGTACAGAATACTGTCAGATTCCCTGTAGAGTTAAGAACTGTCTCATTCACTGTTATCTTCCAGAATTCATGTAAGTAACTAATGAAATAAAAAGAAATTCTCAGATGTTTCAGATAAAGTTGGATGGAAGGGAGAAAAAGAAAAGAAAGGGATACTCAAGACCCTATTTCTAGGAGGGAGGAGTTGTTTGTTTTTATGTCAAGATTTGTCTACATGGGAATATTCAGGAATAATTACTATAAAAATAACTTTCCAAGTGGGATTTCTTGTTCTTTGGTTGGAGCATCATTTGTAGTTGACCTTAAACATGCTTACCAAGGGAATGAATTAATACAACAAAATTGTACTCTCTCAACTGTCAAATCAAAATTTTCAGAAATTGGAACATAAAAGTCAGTCGTCTCCCTCTAGTTTTTGCCACCTAAACACATCTAAATTTCAAAATATTCCAATTAACTTTAGCAGAGATACTGAATGCTCAATACTCTCATAATTCAAAATGTTTATTTAGGTAGCAAACTGTGGGCTCTCTGTTTAAAATTCTTGGCTTTGTTCTGGTTCTGTGACCCACTAATGCTCAGTTACCAGGTGTAGACTAAGTAGCATGAGCCAACAGATGCTCACAGGGCATTTGAAATCATCTGTAGGACATCCAAAGGATCTTGTTTCCACCCTGGTAAAGACCATTTAGAAATCTGTTGGTATGGAAGGTCTTCTCTCATGAGATGTCCAGCACCAATGACTTGAAAGCTTCTAAACTGGTGTTTCATTTAGAATGCTGAGTTTAACTGTGCTTTTTAAAGCCATTAGTTCTTCTCCTTGTTACTGTTATTTTTGTAAATCTGAAAGAACAATTCCAGACTAGTAATCTTAACGCATTTCAACATGAAAATATTCTTTGGCTCTTGAATTCACTTTTTCAGTGAGAGTAGTGATAGTCTCAATAATACTATCTTGAGGGATTCACTTCTTTTTACTCCTCTTACAAATCTCCAGATCTGTGTTGGTGTATACTTTGTGTGAGTGTATTCAAAATCCACTTAATGTTTGAATTGACAGTTGGCTGTAGTCAGAAAAGATACAGAGAGGAGTTTGATTTGTGACATCTGCTAGCATCACTTTGATGGTTTAACATTTTAACAACAAAAGAACTGTTCTGTTTCAGGATTCTTAGGGCAGAAAGCACTAGTCAGTAGAGTCATAGGGTGAAGCAAAGTAAATAATAATGTAAAATGGAGGTGTGATATACTAACAGGAAAAATGTAAACTGAATTTTGTGGAACAGAAACTGGAGTTCAATATTTCACCTGCATATTTAGTAATACGTAAACCAGTAATAGCAACTTTACACACTGCTATCACCAATTATTTTTAATTTACAATAAAAATAAAGGTTTTTCTTCATATTCCTTCAGAATTTAAAGCTTTATAATGGTAAGTGGTAATTAGTAAAACAAATATATTAAGTATGTTTAATCTTCAGTCAGCCACCATATCTTTATAATTTGGCTACATAGGTTAGTTAGCTGAAAACTCAAACATTTTTTAATGACACTAGTAACTTCAATTTAGCACTATATATGCAATCATTGGGATTCCTCAAGTTATTAACAAAAAGAATAAAAATTACTTAGAAATTTTGCATTGTCAGCAAACTGAAGAAACAGTGAGACTTTGCACCTTGAAGTATTGTCAGTGTATACACTCTATATTGCCAGTGCAAATTCTTCCCAAGTTTACTACAGGCAGTGATGTTGCTTTTCTTGTATGTCATAGGAGATCATGTCTCAAAATCTTCTGATAATTTTTAGTAATGAGAGAGTTGGTGGTTTTCAGTCCACCACCATCACTTTTTTCTGCAGAAAGCAGAATGGGTGTGAGAATTATTAGCTCATAATTTCCAATGTCCCCCAACAAGTCTCTTTTGTCCGCGTTGTTCATGTGGTAATGTACAGCTCAGGGAACTGATCTGGATGAAGATTCATATACCAAAGAAAATATTTTCTCCCTTTGTTAATGCATACTGTAAGAAAGAGAAACCATCTTTCATTTTGCACAAATTACCCATCTTTGGAGATTCTAAGCTCTGATTTCCATTTCAAAATAATACGTGATACTTTCTGTTCCTGGAAAATGGAGATGGGGTAAAAGTGCCTCTACAAAAAGCTAAGATATCCAATGCGAAGCATGCAGAAAGCTTTTGTAGCTTTCTTTTTTCAGAAAGTGTCAAAATAACAAAAAACAAGAAAGCAGACAGGGCCCTTGATGACTTGCATGTAGAAGTCTGCCCACATAAATCCAATTTATACTCATCTACATTTTACTTGTTTGAATACATTTTACCTGGTTGAAGCAGCAGAAAATGAACAAAAGAAAGAACACTGATACTTCAAAATAACCCAAAGCAGATGTTTCTTTCTTTAGTATTCATGCAGAGCAAATCCTAGACTTCCTTTAACCAGTCAACCATCGTTTCTGCTTCTCAGAAAACAGTGCACACCGCAGCTGCTACTGTAAACTAGGAAATCTGCCAGATAGCAAGCATGACCTTATGAGCAGAAAATTAAAACATTTCAAGTCTACACAAAGCTAGTTTCTATTATAAAATCTTTTTCAATGGATAAAACCCAATAAGTAGGCCCAGGAAGTCAATATTCAGCCTCATATCCCTTTGCCCTCCTGTAGTGAAGACAAGGCACAGGTCCTTTTCTCTGTAGCCTGAAATTTCTGCATGCTTCCTTTATGACTGGAACCCCTAACACTGGGAAAGAATTACCATGTAGGGTTTACATTGCCTGTACGAAGGAGGAGGACACAGATACTGGAATAACAGCAGGTTATATGCTAGAGAGGTGAATTGGTTGGCACTGAGGTCAGGAGAAATGCAACTTCTATAGGTAATGACCTTCGGAAACATACAGACTTGCTGTTCCTTTATTAACAAGCCTGACTTGAAGGAACCTTGCTGTTTTTCTGTTCTTTTTCTGCTTTTTTATTCAACATTTGCTGTATTCTGTATTTGGTGTAAGCAGGCATCTGTGCTTAGCTACACATTGCTGCTTAGTTGTTTCCATGGGTGTACTATATACATCATGCTCTCTTGAATATATGCTACACTTGTAATTTCAACAAATCAGTAACCTTAGGTTTCATACATGTGCACAGACATGTTTTCACACCCAAAATAGAAGAATAGAGGTCACTATATGTTTTAAAGTTAATTGAAAAAATCCAGGAAGTTAAGAAGAAAGCATTTAGCCTTTAGTAGTCAGTCATAAAAATATTTCTCAGTGCCTATTCTATCCTGGAAGGGAAGAAGATTTGGAACTAAAATGAGTTGGAGTATACCCTTCTTTAACAGAACAATGAGCTATTCAATTTTACTCTAATATTGTGTAACATATTATTAGACAATATTTTTTAATAAGATTTTCTGGTCCTATTCTATTTTGTGATGTTCATGTGATCTTCCTATATGTTTTGTATCTCTGAATCTTCATTATAATTATTGTTATAAAACACTTTGATGCAGAGAAAGGAAGACTAGGGTGCAAGCAGATTTGCATAGAAAAATTAAGTTGCTGATTTAAAGCAGGAAACGACACCCTTGGTTTCTGGGTCCCATTCAACATCCCTAACATTTCTCTTTCTCAAATATTGACTATTGAAGAGTGGTGTAGCAATCAGAATACTTTTTCACTCCCAAACATCTATTTCTTTTCTTTCCTTTAAGTTTCCAAAGTGAGGAAAATCCTCTGTACTGTATTGTGAATTAAAATACATGCAAGAAAACTGGACATACTTTGAATGTGTGGCTGTGGCTGTTCTTGATGTGATGATGGGTTGCAAGTTGCCTTATGAAACAATTTTCTCAGACTTCTGTAATTTATATTTTGGAAGTCACAGTTTTGTACTGGACACAAAACAATATGAGTTCCTATGGAAATGGGCTTTATGATGTCACACTTCATTTTTTCAGTGTGATCCAGCTAAACCCATCATGAATTATGAGCCCAACTCTTGGAGTTGAAGCTGTAGAATATTGTAAGCATGCTGCTGCCTGACATGCTCATGTTTCCTATTTTAGACCTGACTGATCTTCAGATAACATATGGTGGTACAAGTAATTGGAAAATTGGCAGACCTGTCAAGAAAATATGCTAGATGGGACAAAAATACGATGCTGCAGCACATAAAGTGTCGCTGAAGTGAAATTTACTGTCTTTTATCAAAGGGTGAACTAAACGTATCTGGTCTCAAAAAAATGAAACATTTTTCAATGGCAGATGCTTTTCAAAAGTAATTTTTAGAACAATGATGAAAGTTCTTGCATTTGAAAATAATTTAGTGGAAACCTCTGGTCAGGAACAAAGGAAAGGTGTGAAGTACTGTCTGCTGCAGACTGTCTGTGTAGGGTTTAGTAATTTTTTTTTATGTAACCAATCTGCAGATTGGTCATGGCTATTACTGAGACTTTTACTTCTTAAATTATTTTTCTACTATGAATGTAGATGATTAGCCTGATTTAAATTTTGAGTGTTTTATTTTTATTTCAGCTATTGAGCAGAAACACATGCTTGAATACATGATATTATTTGCTTATTTTTATATTTGTTGGTGAAGAGAAGGATGGCAAAAGTATGTGCAGAACTCTACACATATGCATAAGTATAAAAAGTGTACTTCAGCAAATTGATTAATGTTTGGGTTTTCATTTTCTTTTACAGGAAGATGAAAATGAAGCTGAGGCTGAAAATCCATCTCAGGAACTGAATTTGGAACAGAAAAAATCAAAAAAATAGGGGATTGCTGTTCTTGTTTTAAATATTTGCAAGTTGTGTAACAGTGATTATAGTTTCTCATTGTAAAATTAACAACAAAATTCTCAATAAAGTCACCGAAATTTAAATTCATTCTACACTGGGAAATTAATTATGAAGCTCCTGGTGATATTTGTGATTATATTCAAAGCTGAATTATCAAAACTGAGCACCAGACCAGTGAATTCTAAAAGCTTTTTGAACATGGTGTAGAAAGCTGATGGATTATTCATCACTAAAAACACTTCGTAAGCAAACAGTACATTATTATTATTATTATTATTTTTAATTCTACCAAGCAATGTTATCCTTAAAGGATAGTTATAAGTCAGACACATTTTGGTATTTCTGAGCAAGAGCTTTGATACTGAAAAGTGAGATGTATGTTATGTTCTTAAATTCTGAAATTTCTTCTGAACAGTGGTTAAAATAAGTGTTGTTGGGGATTGGGTGAAAGCAAAGATTTTGTGGTTTATAGTGTGTTTTCACATATAATTAGTTTTACATGTTTATGCCTTCCATGATTTCAAAGTTTTTCATATTGTATCATCATTTTCCTCCATGTAAAACCTTTCCATCTTCACATGATCTTTGTCTTTTAATGAATGCCAGTTTTTTGTCTTGTTTGGGCCATCCCACACAGTTCTGATTCCTTTGTAACAATATTTGCATTTAAATAGCATAAAATAACTTCTTCCTGCATCATCAGATCTTAAGTGAATACTCAAAATCTAAAATAATAAAAAACAATTCTTCCTAAAAAAATCTTTTTTATTTACTTCTGCTTTTAACTCTGTATAGGTTACTTAAGTGGGAACGTTAGCACAAGAAACTCAGATGTAGGTTTATAGCTTGATACTTTCACTTGTTGCAATGAAGAGAACAAGAATATTATTCCGTTTCAGAATTGAGGCTGCATTTGCTCAAGTCCCTTAAGGGAATTTTATCTTGCTCTAGGAGAATTGCATCTTCTTCTACTGCAGATGTTTATGTCTTTTTCCCAGTCTTCCATATTATTACTGTTGTTTCTGTATATTTACTGGTAAATCAGATTGGAAATAGTATCAATTTCAATTTTCTTGCTTCTATGTAAACCATAGTTTTATAGTTAAAAGGAACATACCTATGCTCAAGCAATATCTTTTATAAATTCTTTTCTGATTCATGAGCTTCAATTATATGTCTCTTCAAAAAATTTCAAATTTGGGTTTATCCACCCAAATTATCATACAAAATTAGCAAATATGGTCTCAATCATGCAAAATGGTCTATTTTTATTCATTTCATGGCAGCAGTTTTCTCTAGGCTATATGGCAGCCTGAGACTGTATGGAAGGTTAAGATGAAAAAGGTAGATATTTGCTTTTCAATATTTTTATGAAAATACATTACTTGATCTCAAACACCTGAATGAGGAAGACAGTACAGATGTTGAGAAATAGAGAAAAGTTCCATTTGTTGTATAATGCTGTAGAGCTTAAAAGAAGTATTACTGTATCTTTCCTACATTCTTAAAGATTTTACATGAAAGAGCAATCACATAAATCATACTTCTACAAAAATCCAGCTTATGTCACCAAAAGTCTACATTCAGGCTGATAAATAGAAATTTGTCCCCTTAGGCTAAGTTATTTAATTCAGACAGTTGTAAAATGCCAAAAATCAGAGTTTTCAACTGTAAAATAATAATAATCAGCACTGTTCTCATAATCATACTGTTACTACATGACGACAATCGGTATTGTGCCTCAGAAGAACTAAGTTGAAAAGCCGGTGCAGAATATTGTGCCTTTTATTAAAGGTATGTCCATGCTGTGTTCAGAAGCCAACTTGGACACCGAAAGCAGTCTTATCTCCTGTAGAATGAAGCTCAAAGCATATCAGAATATGTTCAAAGGCTTAGAGAGATGAGATGAGCAAAAGTTTACACAGCTTTAATTAAACTGACTACAGCCATTTATATGGAGCAGTACATTCCTTAAATGTAAACATACACTGACACACATATGTACTTGTGCCCGAGTAGCCAGCTTTAATATTTTATTTTATTCTTCCTCCTACCGTGCTGTCCTTGAATAATAAAAGCTGCTCTGAGAGTCTAGATTAAGAGCTATTTTTTTTCCTTTCCATCCCTGTCAAGAATGACAGTGATGATGGTCCCCAGTTGGGAAACTCAGTTTTCTCGTTTACCCCAGTAATAGCTATTTTAGGGTGGCTTAGGGGATAATCATGTTTTTCATGCTTGAGAAGAAACTGTCATTTTCCCCATATTAAAGCCAATTTACCACTTTTTGTACAGTTCATGATGGATTGCTGTTGGTTTTTTATTCATTGCTCCATGTTTGCTTTTTCTCTCCTGTGGAATGCCAGTTGCCTATCTGGGATTTTGTGAGACTCCAACACTGTTTTGTTTTATTACACACAACCACTTCACTCTCAGACGTGAGCAAATTTGTGTATTACTACAATTTTTGTTTTTGGAAAGGATTTCTGACTTTTCAGCTTCCTGGTAGGCCTGCCCACTCCAATCCAGGGCAAGCACTAGGAGGTGTGGGACCTCATGGCAGTCACACGCAAAACAACCTTTCTAATTTGTAAGAGTGTGTGTTAGGTTGTGTCATGGATACATATGCAGAAGGTTGCTAGTATTTAAAATATATTTCCTTAATATAATAATCCATTGCTCTTGTCACACAAGCAGGATTTTCATTCCAAACGCTACACATTTGGCATTAGCTACAAAAGCAAAGCTGTCTTTGACACAGATGCTATTCATCTGAAATAACAGAATCTTAAATGTTGTGCAGTTATAAGGATACCCCATAAAAGGAAATCTATTTCTACTATATGTGTGTCTTCTTACTGGTTAAAATGAAGATTCACAGTATTATTGGTATTTTGTTAATGAAATATTGAAATCTACTACTACACTGGGTTTGTGGTGTTCTTTTACGGTTTTTCTCCTGAACAGAACTGATCACAGTGCATTACAGGCATGAAATGTGATATACAAGAGCTAATCCAAGCACAATATTTGTTTTCTGCTCATTAGAGAGCATTGTCATACTTCTACGCTAAGAAAATGATTTAAATATGATTATTCATTCTCAGGAGAATCAGTGTTTATGCAGTGAGAATTTTTAAAGCAAAATAGAATACACTGAAATAAAATTGTATCACTTTACTACTTCTTACTTATTGCAGTCCCATAAGCCTTCTACCGCTGGGTTGGTTGCTCTGCATCATGCTGCAGAAGCTAACTCTCCCTGACATTAGGCTAGATAGGTTTTACTCTCTGGAAAGTGAACATTGATTAGAAACTGGCTCTATTTCACATGACCTAAAGAAAACGAATTTTACATAGCAATGAATAGACAACTTCTTTCACCTATCTAAGACTGTAGTGTGAAATCAGAGCAAGTTATAAATGTTTCCCCACAGTGCATTCAATGTGGATTCTACAGTGATGCTATCTGGAAAAGGAAGTAAAATGCTGAAGGCAACAGCATGAAAATGCATGCAACTATGGCATAATTCTGATTTGTTTTAGAAGAACTATTAATTTCCTTGTTACAAAGCCAAGTAAGAGCAACCCTTTAAAACTGTTGAACCATGAAAGCCATTTCCTTACGGGTTTTAATTTTGGGAACAGACTCATGAAATTTATAGCTTTGATGAGATATTCTTTGCCTGCAGTCAAAATGAGAACCAGATCATTGGCTTCCCAGCATGACACCTATGTATTCTTGTGTGCACTAGATATCATTAAACTCATAATAACACAGCTATCATCACATTACTGTCTAAAGGGTTCGGTGTTGATGTTTGGTTTAAGTCTTTCACTTATACCTACATCATACTAAATAGCTGAATAAAAGCAAAAACTATACCATACCTATATTGTGCTACCATTCTGCACTTTAAACAAAAATGCAGTCATTTTATGCCTGATGAAATTTTTATTAATTTTGTTCTTGCCAAGCCATGTAGTTTTTAAAGAGCTGTATCAGTGAACTAGTAGCACACCACAAATGCAGTCACAAATAATGGTACAGTGAGAACATTTTTTTTCTGGTTCATGCTGTGAAAAGAGTAGAGAACAACATGTACATATTAATTAAATAATTTTAAGTTTCAGTATATTATTGAAAGTTTATGTACTATATCTGCCATCTTGTGATAGAAGAGAACTGTATTGTAACAAGCCAATTGCACTTCATTACCTATATTCTTCAGGTAGGATAATGTTGTCTGTAGCATCCTAGCAAAGCACAAGTTAGAAGCTATACAAAGAAGAAATTAAAGCTGAAAGCAATTAATGTCACCAATCTGCTGCATGCTTCAGCTGGTTTCTTCTGGAAATATAAAGTATATCCCTTTTACAATATTACATTACCGTCAGATTTTACTGTGAGTATCTTACTGTTTGTACCAAATGAGCTTTTCAAAGAGAGCTACTGATAGAAATCAGTTTTCATTCTGCCATATAACTGAGCAGGTGGATAGGGTTTCAGAGAAACAACCTCATTCTCATAATGGAGCAAAAAAGCTTGAAGAAGCACCAGTATATAAAGCATAGTAATTTGTGGCTTATATACAAATTCCTTATTACCGGGATTTGAAAAGCTTTTGCCTGATCAGTGTTAGTGCTTTTATTTCTATATATGGGGGGTGATGCCCATAGGAATGCTGACTAGAGGTAGTTTGTGATTGGGGCTGCAGTGTAAATTGACTCAAAACCAGCCAATTTCAGTGATCTGGAAAGGAAAATATATAGAGACAACTTCAATCTTTAATCATCAGTCTGTTGTGAAGATTTTACAGGCTACATGATACAATCATTAGCTAGTGCTTAAAACCCTTGGGGAATATGAAACACTAATTAGCTGCTGAGGAAAAAGGATTTATAAATCCTAGATCATAAAAGTTATGTTACAGGAAAGACTTTGGCATGTTTTTCTTTTAATTGTTAGAACTGTATGTCCAGTTTCAATACCTAGTATTTATTTTAAGGATCATTGTTTCACTCACAAATGTCTGATTTTTCTTTACTCAGCACTGGATGTTTTATTTTTAGCATATTGCTATGAAACATACTTTATTAAATAATTAATTAAATCTTTCCATAAATATTTTAACAGTTAACATTTTTCATATCTTTATATATTCAGATAGTATGAGGCAACTATAATGCCTATAATCCAGCTATCAGCTCAGTACTTTCAACAGAACTTGACCTCGGTGGCAGCATGAGCAAGAATGATTTCTCTGTACTGTGACAAGACAGAAATGATGATGTGAAGGCTTGGGATCATCGTTTGAATTAGCAAAAGTAGCTATAGTTCTTTAGAATTAGCAAGGAAGTTTTTCCATTAACAATTTTAATTGGCAACTAGATCTTTAGACCCATGTTTTCTAGTCATTGTTGATAATTTGGTCAGATTTTGCTATTCATACCTGAGCATGATGTAGACATCTCAGGCCTGTTATCTTTTTATCCTGAAGACTGGAGTTCTGTGTAGTCCCTGATGCTGTCTGGAGTCTCAACTAAAGATAGTGTATGAATGTATCCCAGGCTTTATTTCAGAAACGGAAACGTGCACATGTTTTTAAATTTTACATTTTGTTTAGAAAAAGTAGCCTCTAATTTATACCACATATGGAAAGAAGGAAGGATAATGCTTGAGGTGCCTCAAGGTTTTGGCTGTAGTATTGATAGGAAAATCAGTCATGCCATTACTTTGTTGCAAGTATATGTAT